ATCATCTAATTAGCAGTAATGGTTGTTGTTGATCTTATAATGATGGCTTAGGGTCATTGTATACCCTAAAAAGACCACAAAATTCAGTAGTTGKGTACTACCTGGGTAACCAGAATACAATAGATTTCGGTACACAMATAGGCCGGTTTAATGGCAAGAATATTAAATTAGATCAGGTGTTTGAGAGTKACTTACAAATGTTGTATTGTCAAAATCCTCAGCTGCACTTACTTCGAATGAGCTGCCACCTGCAGGGCTCTGTGGTGAGGATTCCTGAAACAATAGTTAGCATATTTTAATAATAGACTGACAGCCTGTACTGGTTATAACCCTTAATAAAAGRGTAAAGTGTGTTGTATGGCCACTCCGACATGCACCACAGAGCTGCAGCTCCCCACTTCTTAGTAATGCCCACTAATTATACCACTCAGTCCCCAATTTCTTTATTTCTGCTCTCCCATAATTTAGACTCRTGCATCGTTCGTACTTGATGCAAAATATTGTAAGGTTGGCTGTTGGATAAAGGATTGATTTTTTTTTCAGCTAGAGAAACCAATCAATCTGATCTTATAGATTTAATATAAAAATGGTACCTCTATACTGTCATCTATCTGTATCAGTGTTGAAGCAGACTGAGATGTTGTTGCTGTTAAAAGCTGCTGCTGAAGGCTTGCAATGGTGTCTAATCTCGTATAGACACCATCAAAAAGATCCTTCAGCAGCAGCTTCATCTCTTGTGTTGGATCGTCAGTAGTTGAGCTTGATTCCTCCTCCTCTTCATCCTCCTCTTTTTCCTCTTCCTCATCTTAAAGGATTACTGAAAGTTACTTACCACTGAAAACTTCACCAGAAACATCATTTTTGACGAATAAATATCAACTTGAGCCATAAAAATGCAATGTGGCATATTTACCTTTTCTTTTCGCACATAGAGTCTCTTCTTCAAATTTTCGTTTCTCTGCTAAGCATGCCTTTTTTGTACCTACATTTGAAAACATAAAAGCGCCGTTTACACGAGCAATTTTTCCTGACAAGTTTTCCTTGACATAGGAAAAATTGCTCGTGTAAATGGGGTAAAATGGACAATTTTTCCTTGTCAAGGAAAAGCCAACATGTTCGCTTTTCCTTGATCAAGGAAAAATTGTCAAGGACGAAATTTCCTCGTGTAAATGGATAACAAGGAAAATGTGGCAAGGAAAWATTGTCAACGAAAACTTGTTGGTCATTCACGATGGGCAAAATTTTCCTTGTCAAGGAAMACTTGTTCTTCGTTTACACAAGCAAAGAAACATTGCCAAGGAAGAATTGTCGAGGAAAACTTGTTGACCATTTACACATGGGCAATTTTTTCTTGTCAAGAAACTTGTCCAGGAAAAATTGCTCGACTGTAAACCGTGCACTTTACTTATCACCAGATACGGTCAAATAATGCAGTAAGGGACGCGAATCTMAGCAAAAATAAACAGTTTGAATACAGCAAATACAGTGTTGATGTTATGGTTTGCTTACCTGAAAAGTTACCTGAAAGCGAAAATTCGACGGGCATAAATCAATCTCGTACTCCGAGCCTTCGTTTTTCTTGGCCAGCGCTTCGGCTGGCCAGCGCCTGGATCAGCCAGCACGATGGATCCTGGTAGGATCCTATTAAGATCCTAGCAGGATCCTGGGTAGGATTAGCGCACATTCCAAAGAAAATCATGCTCCGCGTATCCTGYTCAAGTAAAACAATAATTTCAATATTCGACACATTTCCCTAATCGCAAAATCTTTGCAAAGCTAATCTACTTTGAAGTCTAGCCGGACTTCCTGTCCCCGGGGGGGACTCCCTAATATCAAAGGGCGGGGATCCTCKGCGTCCGTTTTAGGGTTTGAAATCGGTATTTTGGTCCCGCTTAGGGTCATAATGACGAGAATTTCCCCCAACTGAGTTTTGTGGTCCCTTTTAGGGTATATGACGTCCCTAAGCTGTCATATTTCCTATGAAAGGTAGGTGCTGCATTCAACTAAAACAAAATGACCTGTTATTGATTGGTCCCTTTTAGGGGTGAAATTTCAG